GGGGGGGGGGGGGCGTAATAATGTCTTAGCTGCTAGACCATTGACCGCACGGGAGTTGTCGTTGGCATGGAAGGGCTCAAAGTGGACCCAAAAGCAGGACAAGACGACATAGAGTAGGAGAAGACAACTCCAAGGGTTCATCGGTGCACGAAGCGGCCGAGGGAGCAGGGCACCGACAGCAGCAACACAAATGTGACCATGTGATCGATGGCCCTCACCCTCACCAAAAAGGGCAAGGCACGCCGTTTGCGACGAAGCGACCAACGAAGGAACACGGACAGGGTGCTGCCACTGCTGCTGGCTGCCTCAAACGTCTACCTCGTGGTTGCTCTCCTAACCCGCAGACACTTTCCAAACGAACGCGTCCAATACACCCAAAATGAAACCGCGGAATAAATCAACGGGTAGTCTCTTGCCTCTGTCTCTGTCCCTCCCCCCCTCTCCTTCCCTGCACCTGGTTTCTGATTGCCTGCCTGTCTGTGTCCCTCCTACCCCCCCTGTTGTGGGATTCGAGTACAAGGATCTGAACGGTATGTCTAGGCAAGACATTTGGATCTGGCGGGAACGGCAACTCCCTAGGATTGTTGTTAAACAGGGGATATTGCCTCAACGGCCCCTCTCTGCTGGGAACGGTCCGCGCGCCCTTCCGTTCAGTCTATCCGAAGCAAGGTCAGCAAGAGTGCTGCTGTGTGTAGATAAAACAAGAGAACAAGAAACACATACAAGTGAGTCTTCAGGGATTGCTATGTACGCGTGTGAACCTCACAACCCCCCCCCCCCCCCCCCCCCCNCCCCCCCCCCCCCCCCCCCTTCTCTTTCATCCCACCGCCCCCTCGTCGCCCCCCCAGTTACGCTCGCCCGTCCCGGCGCCGATGAGGGCGGTGTCGAGGGTCATGAAGTCTCCGTCGGCCTCCCTGTTGGGGGGGCACAGCATCTCCTCCAGAGAAGGGAGGTTATTGCCCCCCAGGCTGAGACCGTCGGCGGCGAGGCAGTACGTGTACGCCTCCGCCAGGGCGTTGCACTCGCGAGGATCTGCCGACGAGGGTCGAGATCACGGCGCGGTTTGTATTGGAATTGGTTATGCCCGTGTTTGCGATTAGGTGGGGGGAGGGGGGGGGGGGGG